AGGTTTCATGTACTTAGGATACTGCCCCATGAGTCAGTCAACTTCCTGTTGCCTCTGAGTCAACACTTAGCACTCTCTGCTCCAGCACCACATCTGCCTGCATTCCTCCATGCTCCCTGCCATGATAGAGTGATCCCGTGAACTGTAAGTGAGCCGCCATTATTAAATGTTTCCTTCGTAAGAGGTGTTGTGTCATGGTGTCTCTTCACAGCAATAAAAACCCAACTAAGATAAGAATACACTTTTGGCTTCAAATACATCATCCTATTTAATAAGCCGAAACCCCCAGAAACATAGTCCAAACTTACCTAAAAATATCCAAACTCTTCAGGACTTTGTGTGTGTGTGTGTGTGTGTGTGTGTGTGTGTGTGTGTGTGTGTGTGTGTGTGGTCTGTGTGGTACGTATGTATGTGGTGTGTGTATATGTCTGTGTAAGTGCTTGTGCATGTCTGTATGTGTAGTGTGTGCATAGTGACTATGTATGTGTATGTATATATGTGTATGTGTGTACTGTATGTGTGTATATCTGTGTGTATTGTGGTGTGTGTGTATATGTGTATGCTGTGTGTGTATGTGTAGTGTATGTGTGTATATGTGTGTTTTGTGTGTATGATGTGTGTGTATGTGTGTGTTGTGTGTGTATGATGTCTGTTTTGTGTGAATATGTAGTGTGCGTGTATTTGTGTGTGTGTGTTGTGTGTGTATGTGTAGTGTATGTGTGTGTGGGTGTTTTGTGTGTATGATTTCTGAGTTGTGTGACTATGTAGTGTGTGTATGTGTAGTGTGTGTCAGTGTGTTTTGTATGTTGTGTGTATGTGCAGTGTGTGTTGTGTGTGTTTGAGTGGTGTGTGTATGTGTGTGTGTGTGTGGTGTCTATGTTACAGAAAGCTTACTTCTGAGATTTAAAGTACCGATAAAGGTTTTTAAGACTACTTTATGTAATTGTTTTTCTTGACAAAGATGGCTGCATGGGCTTACATTACAGCTGGCAACCAGTAGGGCAGAAAGTGTAAAACCAGAGTTTCATATGGTTGTCAAGAGGAGAGCAGGCTGCTTCCCCACTATCTGAGTCCCTGATTCTGGGAAAAAGAAAAAGGAATAGGAAAGGGTTAGAGAAGTCTGGGGCTGGTGTGTCACCTGACTGTCTCCTTGCTGGCACCTCATTGAAACATCATTAAGATGAGTCAGAGGAGCTCCGAGTTCCAGAGGTTATTCATTTCTCCTTAAACTCACTGCCTTTGCAGGAGCTCCTGGACTTCGTGTTACAATTTCCAGACACAGAGCAGTGCTTTGTAGCCATCACAGCTTGTTTAACAATTTTAGTTTTCTTGACAGTGTGTGGTGTGGAAAAATTAAAAGGGGGAAATTTATTATCTAAATGGGCTTACATTTGCAAAGAATAATAGAAACGGTTAAGTAACATAAATGATTATGTTTTGTACTCTTAAAGGATATATTTTAATGAGGCAGATAATACATTGCCTATTTCCGTATTATTTTATCATGTATTATGGTGAGTAACAGAAGTGGAAAGTCTATTAAACAACTGCGATTATGTAATGCAGCTCACAAATCACTTGGATAAGGACCATCACACGACACACATATGCACTTGCTATATGTGTCCTTTCTTTTCTGGCCTTTTTGACAACTTTCTTTTACTTTATTTAAGAATATCCATTCATGTTGGATTTGGTGCAAAGTGAAAACAGGGAAATTGTGTAAAATGTCTTATACAAATACATAATGAGGTGAAAAAATGCTTTTTGGCTGAAAGATAAGGGACATAAAACAAAGGCAGTGTGTTGGTAAAGGCTACACAAACACCCAAGAGTCCAAGCAACTCTCCTGGCTGAATTCATGTAGGAGATTATATCTTGAAAATGCTAACCCCTCATTCCTGAGTTTTCTCACTCATGCTAGGATACTCTACAGGGCATGGCTTCAGACACTGGGAATTCAAAAGCTGTTTTAAAGAATGCAACTATAGTCTGTGCTTCTGTAAATCTTACCATCTAATGAAGAAAACATAAAATTGATAAAAATTATGCCATTCTGTCATTGTCATCAGTGCTCTGAAGGGGCCCTAGGACCACAGAGAGAAGCTAAGAGGTCAGACTCGCTGGCAGGGTAGATCTGATTTACAGATCTCGGGTGGGCTTTTGTTGGGTAGTTGACCTGAACACTAAGCCTCGAAGAATGAGATGGAATGAGCCAGCTGAGGGGTGGCACTAGGCAGATGAGGAAGGACTTGGTGTAGATGCGACAGCATGTAGAAAGAGTTCAAGCCGGTGGGTTATGGCCTTTTTGAGGAATGTAAGGAAAGCCTTTGTAGTAGAAACAGAAACCCAAGAGAGGCATGTGAACAGGGAGCTCCAGAGAAGGGAAGCGACTTATCTCTGCTGTATTTATAGAATGTCACTCTCTTCAGTGAAGGAAAGTCTGGAAGCACGGTAGCCAGAGTGGTGTGGCAAATGGAACAAGGGAAATCAAGGAGCCACTGCCCAGTTATCTCAGGAGTCCAGATTAGAAGGGATATGATTTGGGATTATGTATGGCTTGAGTCAAGGAGATAAGAAGTGAGTGATTCAAGATCTGCTTGGGAGGGAAAACAGATACAGCTTTGGAGTCTAGGAAATATCAGGAGGACAGCAAGGTTTCTGGTGCGAGCAATAAAGGATCTTGAAGTCCCCTGTCATAATGAAGAGCACAGAGTATGGTTTAAGATCAAGAATTGAAAATCGGGGGCATTAGCATTTAGGAAACCCATCAGGCATTCAAGAGGAGATTTGGGCATTCAGATAGGTGTGTGTGTGTGTGTGTGTGTGTGTGTGTGTGTGTGTGTGTGTGTGTGTGTGTGTTGGCAGCTAGGAAGAGAGATCCAGACTGAGAGAAGTTCAAGGAGATCCGGAACAGGCATAGCAATAGGTTTTGAAGCCAGCGAGTCTTAAGAATGGCTATTATTTGGAACAGTAAAACAATATTTTCTGACAGACATAATTTTTACCACATGGTTTCAGAATGCAGATGTCATTCTTCTGCTTGATTTTAGTATGCTCAAGGGAAAACACTTTCCCATCTTCAGTAACATCTCTCTAATGCAGTAATATAGGTCAAAGGGAAAGGAAAATTTGTTTAAGTCAACTTTATGATATCAAATCAAAGGCATTTATAAGAAACTGAATAGTTTTTTATTATTGTTCTTTAACTTCTTATCATAGGTACTTGATCCGCCCATAACCTTGAGCTGACATTGATTGGAAGATAATTGATCAGCTAAACAATTTCTTATGAGACACAGTTTTGTAAACAACATTACACCTTGCCCTGCCAAAATCCTATATTTTGTTTCACTAATAACTTTTTCATCCAATTTTTTGCCATCATAAGGTATAACTAAAGCATCACATATACTAAATTCTGATGTTAAATTTTATTATCTATGAAATCTGTACTGAAGGCATTATGATTGATACTCATTTTAAAAAGAAACCTGACAAGAGTTTCACAATATCACAGTGTCTACATTTGGCATCGCATGGCTTTGGGCTTGATATGACCTGCACAGCTTTGGACTTGACCCCACAGGTTCTATGAGGGAATGAAGAAAGGACAAACACACAGATACACATACAGAGAAAGTGAGAGTTGCTGTATGCTCTGATGGAGATACTCCAGTAGCCCAGAAACTCAGCATGTTTCTTACACAGCACTCAACGAGGGGGTAGGTGTGTTGTATACAGCTGAACAAGAAGTAGGTTTATTGTGTACAGCTGAACAGGAAGTGGGCTTATTGTATACAGCTGAATAAAGAAGTGGGTTTACTATATACAGCTGATCAGGAAGTAGGTTTACTGTATACAGCTGAATGAGGAGGTGGGTAGCTAGTCTAGGTAGAAGGTCTCTGTAAGGAGAAGCCTCAGGTAGCAGGCTTCCTGGAGAAGGGTAGCCTTGATATTTCTACAAGCAAAGTCACATCCAGGATGTTGAAGCCATGGTCATACTGCCTACACACACTGGTCTTAGCTGAAGGCCAACCCTTTTTCAATAGACCTTGACATTCCAAGTGCCTGAGACACTGGACCATTGACATGACTGTGCTCTTGTCAATGACAGGCATTCCCTCGGTCCTTCATCTGCTCCCCGCTGGCATTACTGACAAAAATGCCAAGGGAGGCATGATGACAGAAAAGCCTCTTGTCAGGTCATGAGAAATTCTGAGTTTCAGGTTGTAGTCCACACTGGAGGAGGACGCTGTGGTTGGTACTTTCTGCCTAAATTGGTTTTAGCTACAGGCGGATCTTTCCTAACATACATAATTAGACCAGACCAGAAGATTCTACCATTCTTCTGGGTCTGATGGGGGAAAGGTTTGTCATTCCCATGAGTCTGAGGCATAGGGTCCTTGACATGGGCTGTGTTCGTGTCAACAATCCACATTCTCTCAGGACTTTATCTGCTTCCCACAAGGCATAGTTCTTCTCTGCTGTCAAGTATTATAATAGAAACATAAGGAAGAAAAGCAGCCTACTGTACAACTTTGATGGAATTGCTACACTGACTAGGGAACACATTCAAACCTTCCAGTTTATTCCAAGAAATAATGCCAAACTCAAACTCATGGTGACTCGTAAGATAATTTCAGGATTTTGAAAACTGCTTATTTCATAACTCCACTGACCAAATTATAACCCATATTGAAGTGAATTACCTGCCTCAAAGGAGTTCACAATTATTTGAATTATTTGAAATGCTGATAAGACTGCATTATGTGTGTGTTAATATATGTATACACATATACATATTTATATATCACTGTACATTTTTATTGAACTCAGTCTTCAGTACTGGTTAACCCATGGGAAGATGTTTCTGCACACATTTGAAGACAAGGCTAAATAGCTGACACACGGTCTTGAGAGACTAATTATTTTATCCTATAATGCATATTAATACCTTGTATCACTCAACCTTTGACTGTGTTTTCTTTGTCCCAAAGGCATTGCCTACGACCCTCTGATGCTGAAACACCAGTGTATCTGTGGCAATTCCATCACCCACCCAGAGCACGCTGGGCGGATACAGAGCATCTGGTCACGGCTGCAAGAAACTGGGCTGCTAAATAAATGTGAGGTAATCCTGAATTGGCCACACTCTTTTACTTACCCAAATAAATCATGAAAGGAGTCTAGTATTCATTTAGTGGTAACAGAAAAATGTTAACCACGCAGGGCAAACACTTATTGATGATGTGTCAGACTCAAGTGGTTCAGAACTTCCAGTTGTCTATGGGCTGGAGGCAGAGTAGGGTCTCAGGTCCCTGCTAGCTCTGCCTAGTTGAAATGAATAGGCTTTAAAGACTGACAGCTCTCACTGGAACAAGTCTCTCCTTTTTCATTGAAGTGACTGAGGGATACCTTTACGATCTTCTGATAGGTCTGAATGTTTGTATTTTTACCAATATTCATTTAGGCTCATGGTTTTAAGTCACTGGTAAGCCCCATGCCCATCTCAAAAGCTTGTTTCTTTAGGCTTCTGGAGGTTAAAAAGAAAAAGAGAACAATTCAGAAAGATTCACACAAAATTTACAAAATCTGGAGTCAATGATTAACTCGCATTTGATTTATTTTAAATTTCCAAATTTTTCTAAAACCCAGTGGCATTTTATATTTGAGTTTGGAATATTTTTCAAAGAAAAATATTCTCCATTTATTTTCTTGATTTGTTTTTGCACTTCTTGATTAAGAAATTTGTTGTGTTGCTTTTCTTTTCTTTTTTTCTTTCTTTTTTTTTTTTTTTTTTTTTTTGCTATGTCTACATTGTGTTGTAGACATGTGCCAGACACTGGGCAAGTTTCACAGCATAAATAGCATCCCTGATTTTACATATAAGCCTTCTTCCAGCATGTTGGATTTGTACTTCTCTGTAGAGCGATGAAGGGAATTCAGCACAGTTCTCATTTTCTGGGTTTGGGATCTGGTGAGATAAATAGCATTTGATTTGGTCTGAGAACACTGAGCATATCAAAATCACCATGCTTAATAAAATAGCAATTATTTTAAGATTTATTATTATATTTATTTTATTCATGTGGATGGCTGTGCTTGCATGAGTACATACATACTGTGGGTATGCAGATGCCAGCAAATGCCAGAAAGCACTAGATCTTCTGGAATTGGAGTTATAGGTTACTGTTAGCCACTTGTTGGGAACCAAGCCTGGGCCTGTGTAAGAACAAAACTTACAGAGGATGGATACCCCCAATGGAGGGCCTCATCTTCTCTGGGGAAAGAGTGGTGATTGGGGGAGGGGGAATGGAAGGTTGGTGGGTGGGTGTGGGAGAAAGGGAGGGAGAGGGAGCTGGGACTGACATGTGAAGCAACCTTATTTCTAATTTAAATTTAAAATAAAAATTTTAAAAATAAAAAAGAAGAGCAGAACTTACTCTTTACCATTGTCTACCTTTCCAGCCTGAATGAGAAATAATGTTAGGGGCTTCAAGTTACATGGAAATTGTTCCTGGCTATTTGTGTGACATACAAGTTCTAAAATAATGTTTTTCAGTGTTGATTGTGTTAGTAATTTATAATATACATGTTGTTGGTTTTGATACACAGCACATCTTTGAAAACTTACAATAGTACATTATTTTTTACCACCCAAAATGCAGTCCACAAAATTACCACTCAAATTCAAGTTAGTTAAAGTAAATCTGTAGTTAGACCTTACCTAATCCAGGGCCTGAGAAAGGAGATTCACAGATTTAAGTATTCCTTTGGTTATTGAGTGAACTCAAGGTCAGGCAGGACAAATTACTTGAAAACCTGCCTTACAATTTTCAAAGTGAAAAGACAACTGGGGACATAGTTTAGTGTTAGAACCTCTAATCCTTACCATGGAAAGAGGCAGAGGAAAGACATGAGCTAAAAAAATAAGAGCAACAATAAATATGTGTAGAAATGTAGATGCATAGAGAGATATACTGAAGCAGATAGAATTCTCCCTTGGTCAGATGATGTTGACTATGTTTGTCTGATTCTTCCCTTCCCTTTGAAAATGCAAAGTTATTCATTGTTTGCTCATTTGGAAGCTTAGCTAGCTGACCAATGTACACTGTGGTATAGAAACATGAAGCATTAGTAATGCCTGACAGTTTGTTAGCAATTGAGGTTGTGACGGAGCACCTCAGAACAGTGTGGACAGTGTTGACGTGGCAAGCTCAGTTGTATGCTTATGATGGATTATCAAACACTTTTCATATTAAAAGTGTCTACAGCCAGGAAGTGGTGGTGCATGCCTTTAATCTCAGCACTTAGGAGGCAAAGTCAGGTAGATCTCTTTGAGTTTGAGGTCAGCCTGGTCTACAGAACAAGTTCCAGGACAGTCAGGACTACATAAGAAACCCTGTCGCAAAAAACAAAGAAACAAACACACACACACACACAAAACAAACAAACAAAAAAAGGTTTCAACTCCTAACACACCCAAGGTGAAGGGAAAGAAGCTGGATTTGTCCCTCCTTTCTTGAGTAAAGGACTATTATTCATCTTTTGCCATGGGCATCCATATTATTTAGCAAAAGGTTTATATATCCTTTGGTTAGATTCAGAGTTATCTTTAAAGATCTCATGGTTTTGGATAATGTAATTTGGGAGCCAAATTGGTTCTGCAAATATCCCTTACAGAGCACATGAGTAGGGGAAAGAACAGATATTTTTTGTTGTTGTTTTTTGTTTTGTTTTGTTTTTTTGTAGGCTGATCATAATGGACAAATGCTTTTACACATGTGAACCAGACTGACTCACCTTTGAATTTGCTGAAGATGTTTTTCTGTTTGGCAACTTCTTGGTCCTTTGTCAGCCTAAACATTGTTATTTATATGTTTTCTGCATGCAGGTCTGTGGTGTGCCCTGTAACAGCTGGCTTCTTTCCAGGGACATTAGCAAAGGCTGATCATAGACTTGAGTACATTGTCTGGTAGTGGTGTTCCTGGGATTTATTGCCTGAAGACTGCTTATAAGAAGGATCGGAATGCAGGAATGAATGGAATGTATTATGGTTCCCACTGACCTTAAAATTTTCAAGTATCATAATCATTCTTTTCTAGTTAACCTTCCTTTTCAATCCTTCAAATATATAACTGTATTGTTTCAAAGCACACAAATTAGAGTTATACAACCCAGCCTGATTCGATACAAACCACAGAATGAAATGCCACAACTGAAAAGTTGGTAAGAAGAAGTAAGATTTGCCCTAGCCTCCATAAATAAACAGTGGGCATCCTCATGACAGGTAACCCCCAAATTAACAGCAAACACAAGTGAAAGTCAAGATCAAGTCGTTTTTGTTGTTGTTTGCTTGTTTTCTATGTATTTGTTAGGTTGATTGGTTTGGGTAGGGTTTTTTAAATCTTGTTTTGTTTCATTTTTGAGACTTAGTCTAGCCACAAACTTGATTCTCCTGCCTCTCTGTATGAGGACTGTGCCCCATAGTCTCATAGATTGGAACACTTGTTCCTCAGTCAGTGGTGCTGTTTGAGGATGTTACATAACACTGTGTAGGTGGAGCCTTTCTGGAGGAAGTCCTTCACTAGGGGAAGCTGCCTCGCTGGAGGAAGCCGGTCACTAGAGGAAGGCTTGCAGGGTTTGTAGCATTGTCTCCTTTTCTGTTCTCTCCCACTGCTTCCTGTGTATGAATGAAAACGTGGCCATTCAGCTGCCATGCTTACTCTGATAGCTCCTATGCTTCCCTGCCATGATGGACTCTACCCCCTGTGGAACTGTAAGCCTAAAGAAACCCTTTCCTCCCCTGCTTCTTGTAGTCAGAGTATGCTACCACAGCAACAGAAAGGAAGCTAATTCACACTGTCTCCCACACCCTGGATGGTGTGGATTCTCTCCTAATGCACACTAAGCACAGTTATCCTCTCAAAATGTCTCAATCGTGTACATAGAGTGCCCCTCCCCTTTTAAATCATAGCATGATGCAGCCGTGCATATCTAAGTCAGGAAATCATTGCCCAGATGAGTTTATTTGCTCTTTGATTTTATATTTTTCAACCTAAATGTAATTCTGTAAGCATTTTTTAAAAGCACTCACTTTTATGCACTTCAGAATGTAACATAAGCTGTCTCTAACGATATTTAGAAATACTCAAAATGGAGTTTTAGAAATCTCAGTAAACAAAGTCAGTGCTTTTTCTGGGAGACTTTTGCTTCTATATAGAGTAAAATGTAGGTACAAAGGGAACATAATTATAAACAGAGGTTTCTCTGTTCTGCCCTGTCTTGCAGCTGCTTCTAAATAATCACTCAGAAGCTCAGCATTAATTACAAACCATCTGGCCTATTGTTCAGGCTTATTACTAACTAACTCTTACATAAAATTAACTTATTTCTATTAATCTGTGTATTGCCTTGTGGCTCAAGACTTTTTACCTTATTTTCAGTATGGCCTGATTAGTTGATAGGTGGCTGACATCTCTCTAGACTCCTCATCTGAGTTCTTACTTTAATTGGTCTGCCTGGCTATTGGTCAAACAACTTTTGTTATTAACCAATAAGATGAGTGCATATTCACTACCTACAGAAAGTTCATCCCAGAGCACACAATAGTTTCGTGACATCTTCTTCTCCTCCCATTTTATTTAACTAGAATAATAGTGAGGAAAAATAAAAATAAAAAAACACCCAGATTATTTCAAAAACATTCAGTCCATCTAGACACGGCAGCATCTACACCAGGACTCTCCTGAGTCGCTTCTTTACCAATGATGCTTGCACAACGCATGCTCTTCCTGGATGTCCTTAGTCTCTTCCTAAAAAAGATAATTCTTTTTTAATTTTTATTATTTATTTTTAAATTTAAATTTAAATTAGAAACAATGTTGCTTCACATGTCAATTCCTGGTCCCTCTCCGTTTCCTTCCCCTCCTCCTGTGACCTCCCACCAACCCCCCCCCAATATCCCCTCATTTCCCCAGGAAGGGTGAGGCCCTCCAATTGGGTGTCCATAGTCTGTCATTTCATCTAGGGCAGGGCCTAGACCCTCCCCCAAGAGTTCAGGGTGAGAGGGCATCTCACATTGTTGGATGGGAGTCCAAAGTCCATGTGTATCCTCGGGATGAATACTGA